CGGTTTTAAGTATTTCCACCGATCATATAAAGATACACCTAGCATTCAAGTGCATCGAAGAGGGGATTTACTTGTTCTTTGTGGAACAAAAGGAGGGTTGCCTACTATCCAGAGCGCGCGACTTACTTGTTGCTCACAACACCAGAGCGTTCTTCTCTCATGAGAGACGACGTACTGCGTGAACTCGCAAACGAATGAAGAGGGAATGAGGCACAGAGGCGAAACATAGAAACCGAGGGGTTCGGTCAGCGATTCTCGAGAACAGAATTTATCCCGAAAACCTGATAATAGGTACCGCAATGGGATCCGCCTTTGTTCGACGTGGAACAATCGACGAAAAACGCCCCTCAGAATTCATGAACGCGGCAACGCGTGGATTTTGACGCATACCGGTGCAACTGGAGGATAGAGCTGCAAAAGGAAGAGGAAGCTAGATTCGGTTCGATAAATATTGTTCTTTAATCCCGCTAGACGTGTTTCATTCTCGAGGCCCATCGCCGAATATCCTTTCCGCTCTACTATTCACTGATCCACGTCAATTGCTGTTTTATTTACTCGCCCGCACTTTGATTATCGTCAGTCAATCACAGTCGATATGTAATTGCTTCTGGCGTTAACGTATGGCTATAGGTGCGGTCCACTTGATGCTATAAATGCTCGATGCATTTGATTGATCAATTGGGAGAAAGAATTTACTAATTCACCGATCAAAAAAATGCTTCGAAGTATTTGTAGCATCAAGTAGACTGTAGTCTATATAAACATAAACACGTTAGTACGTAACCTTATTTTATATAGTACTTAGCAAATTACATTTTATTCGTATATTTATAATAAAATTGAGGATTTTTTAAATTAAGAGATCATATTTCAAGATATAATAATTTCCAATATTTACATTAATCATATTGACAATGAATTTTTTAATTAAATCTTTCGTTCCTGATAACTATGTTAATCAAATAACTTTAAAGTTACAATTTGTAAAAAAGTAACTGTCGTTAATTAAACTATTCCTTTAACGTACATAAAGACAACAATTGACAAAATCAATAAAATTCCACTTTGATACCAAAAGATTAACTTAAATTTCTATCAGCATTTAATTAAAGCTTTGAAGAAAAGTTTTTCTTTGATTCTCTCAAGCTTTAATTCACCAAAAGCGTAAATTTAAGTCCTCATTAAAACCACTATTTTTCTTAGCTTCTGTCCTCTAGTAGTCCGAACATTGGAGCGACATTCGACGATTCTTATTCACCCTGCGCAATTCACTTCCACTATTGTTATTTCGAAGATCCAATTCACACAGAAGTTCTTTCCATTTGGAAATTGAGGCGTTGAAGATCGGACTTTTCATACAAACATTTGTCGTTACCCGGCAGAGGTGCTTGCTTAGAGAATCGAATAGAGTACATAAGCCTCTCACAAGTTACGTCTGTAACATCACATTGGTGAGATAGAGCCTGACCATTCTTTTGCCATTTCTTACCTTCGCACGGTTTTCCTGCTCACTGTTCCATCGGATTTTCAGATGGCTCTAAGCTCCAGATAAACTCGTCGAGATATGTGCATCCCCGATTATCGTGCGCCGACTATCTTGAATAATGATAAAATCCATCTCATTTATGTTGTGCCACCGCGGAAGGATAATACTATAGTTTCTTCTTGACTTATCTTACTTGTTGCGATGTCGCGTTTTCTGCTAATCAAAGATATCAGATCAGTGTGATGTATTTATGTTTGAACAAGTTATAATTATCGTGATTTATCTGCTAATTGCAAAAATTTTATTTTATACAACTTATAACTTGTATAGAATACCGTGGCATACTTTAAGGATGTATACTCATTTTTACAAATATGATAATATTTATATTTTAAATAAACTATATACATATAAAAGTTGTGTTTATTATATTAATTTTATTTGTTATTATTTTAAATTGTCATTAAAATTTTTGAAATAATGATACTGATCTTAATGTTTTTTGTTTTTTATATAAGTACTTTAAGTATTTAAAATGATTTATGCAAAGTTTTATTGCGATGCAGAGATTAATTGTTCTGTAAACAAATAATTTTATTTATTTACTGAACAAACTAATCTCTGCATTGCAATGAAACTTTATATAAATTATCTTAAATACTTAAAGTACTTATATAATAAGAAACAAAATTTTTTTAGATTTATTTTAAATTTAAAGATTTTTATGATCTAAAATAATTTGTAACTTTTTGGAATTTTTTAATTATTTTATGAATATGCGTAATGCAGCCTTAGCTCGCGTTGAATAATCTTCCGCTTCGTTTCACAATGTATTAAGCAATATATACCAACACGTTGAAAAGATTTCGCGTAACAACAATTTGTGCACAGAATTTCCTTACATTCTTAATCATCCTACGAGTATCCTGAGCAAGTACTTAACGTCGAACAATCGTTAGACATTCAGGTATTTGATTTCTCTTTGAGCGGAAACTTTTGCGGCCACTGTTGTCTATATAGGACTGAGGGATATTAACGAAAACTTTCGCAAATTTACGGAAAGTTTATGATGGCGCGGTATCGAGTGCAATGCAATGTCGAGCTAAATTGTAACTTCCATTACACGGGATTACGTTAAGTTACATCAAGAGTGTCGCAACTTTCCTGATATAACGTATTCCTCGTCAGTGATAATGGAAGCGAGCTGACGTATATTACTTACCGTACTTCATTAAATTTCCATTCAGCAAACAGCGTGTGCATCGTTTCTAAGAGGATGAAAAATAAAAGAATTTTCATCTTTATCGTTCAAGAAAATTCTATGAAATCATATCGGAGATAAATCGAGATTGTGTTGTCGTAGCTCGATATAATTGACACTCCTGTCAATAATATACCGGAAACGATCTGTCATTTCCGCGATAATCCAGTCAGTAGATCGCCATTAACCTATATATTAATGCGTCCCTCGATGTCGTTAATTAGCCCCTTACAATTCGATCATTAAATTCCGTGTCGTTATCGCGAATTCTATTGACCAGGTCGCTGATAATGTTGGGTGCCACGTGTGCAGTTTCTCACGATTCTGTTATAAATTGCTGTAGCCGTTGTAATATTTTCTTCGTAACTAATTAACATTCGCATAACAACATATCATCGCAATAATGGCCACGAAACGCCGTCTGTAGTAGTAGTATTCCAGCATATCGCACGTTCCTCCTATACATCCAGAAACAAATGCGGCAACGGGATAACGAAGTTCCCCGTAAAAGAGGAACAACGATCGACAAAATCCAATGCTCGGTACTCGCTGCAACACGGTTTCGTTCCGTCGTGCACGAACGAGATTAATTAGTCGGACACACTTTTTGGGCGAAATCCCGTTTCTCGTTAGTCTTCATTAGCCACACAACAACGACAACAATGCCGCTATCCATAACGCGCCAGAATACATTAGAGAGAACGTTCGACCGGTTTTTTAGATCAATCGATCTCATAAGCCTATTTCCCTGATATTGGGTCGCGCGCGAACGAATTCGATTAAAATACGCGTTAATCGACGTCGAAAGAGAAACGTCACTCAGTTCCGTGATCTAGGACAAATGGCAAAACATACAAAACCGACAGGATCGCATTTAATATCTCGTCGCAAATAAAAAACGGACGAACGCCGCAAGATCACGTACGAAGATCACGACACAAGATAGCGATTAATACAGTGGTGTTGAAAATTCAATTCTCCGATGAAATTAATTAACTTTATTCTCCAAAGGGAGAATCACCGAAGCGCTCCCTTTTCCTGCCATTCTCCTACCGTTCTTATCCCCTTCGTTCTCCATTTCGTGATAACGTATAAAAGTAGCTAGAAACGCAAGGGCTTTAATGATACTACGGCATCGATTTTCGATTGGCGAGAATGACATCCTCAAAACCTTCGACAATACTGATACCGCTTTCTCGAGTAACGATTCTGAGAGAACATTAACGATGCCAACACATTGCTTTCACGAGTACCTTCGCGAGTATCAATTGCTACAGGTTGTCTCTCGCAGGTCATCTAATATTCGATTTACCTACACCGATAGTTTGCGTGACAACGTAAAGGATACCGCAGCCATTTATTAGCACATCTCCCACAGGAATAAGAATATCTTTTCGCTTAATCCTCGCATCATCCTATCATACATCCGAAAACTTAATAAGCCGCTACGCTAAATAAATATGTCATAAAAATTCGGGCGCGCAGACTCCCGGGACGAGCATAGATATTCACTTTTATCCCTTAATGTTGTTTAAGTAGCCGATTCGAATTATTCTTAAGGGATTAACACGACCTGGCTCACAGTGTCCTTTCTCGTTTCCTCCTCTTTCTCTTCCCTTTCATCCCTTTCTCTTTTTCATCGCAATTCTGGGTTAGGTTAGGTCGCGCTTAAAGAGCCCATCGTAAAAGTGGTCCTAAATGGTTTGCATTTTCATGAATAACATTCGCGAGTGTCCTTTTATCGTTCCCCTTTACTTTCGTGATTCTTATCTTATTATTCATTCAGAATGTTCTATGGAAGATACAGCCAGATATTATAATTTAGATAAAAGTGGTGAAACGGTAAAAGTAGAAGCTATAACATACATGAAGAAACGCTTTCGTAAAGTGAGACAATAAAAATCGGTAATCTCAGCATTTCTAATTGCATTTAATCTTGAATCTGTTAATTTTTTCGTGTAAGACAGTATTTTTAATGGATATTACAGCGTCACAAGAAAATGTAATTAGAACGGAGAAATTCTCTCATGCTTCAAGTATCCCATCCATCTCCTTACTTTCGGACAAGCGCGACATTCGCATGATATTCTCCGTTTGTCAATATTCTTCGTGCGAGATCTTGCCGGTGGCAATAAGAACTGACGGCTCCGCTTTATCATGCGGTGATTAAAGAGACGCGCTATTAAACCGGCCGCGAAATGATCACGATTGACGACTGACGAGGGTAATTAATGGAATGATATGAAACGTTAGTGCGGATGAGGGTTTCGACGGGACGTACCAAACAAACGTGGTGGTCACGCATAACGGCAGTTGCCTGTACGTCCCTCCGGGCATCTTCAAGAGCACATGCAAGATAGACATCACTTGGTTCCCCTTTGACGACCAACACTGTGACATGAAGTTCGGATCCTGGACCTACGACGGCAACCAGGTACACTACTGTCTCCACTTACACACCGACACACGTTCAATACACACCGAGAGCACCAAGATTATTATCGATCCCTTAAATTCTTCCGAATGAACTACACGCGCTTTTACTCGGGTAAACCAGAAGCGAAGGGTGAAAGAGAGTGAAGAACCATGAAATGTGGCTCTCCTAAGTGCAATCGATGTGACCGCCGTGCGATGCGACGAAAGAAAAGATCTCACATTTTCACGATTACAATCTTCGGAAAGTCTGCCACAAAATTTTCATTTATCATGACATGATGATAGCAATAGGATCTTCAGAAATTTCTGATTATCCTATCGGTGCAGATTTTCCGAATACTAAGAATTTGAAGTCAATTTGCATTTAATGTTTCTTTATCGCAAATAAAATCGATCTTTTTACAATCAATCGTGATAATATATGTTGGCTAATGCAAAATATAAAGCCATTTCAAAATTAATAAAAATTTATAAATTTTTTTCTTTATTTAATATCTTATTAACTCAACTAATCGCTCGAATTTATATATATATATATACATATATATATA